GTATTCTCGCAATAAGAGGGTATTGCTGGTGTTGTGAAAATATAACCCTCTGATAGGAGAAAATAGTTTTTTTACGCTTTTAGTGTCCCGTTAAAATGTTTCCAACTGCGTGTGGCACATCTCTGCCCTCGCTGATATTCTCAAGCCATTTCTTGACTCCTTAATCAACCTGTCCCGTTGTTCTTGCGATGCGACCCAAAGTTAGGGGAATGCTGGCCAGTTCAATGTATTTGAAGCCATTTATTTAAGGCCATAGTAGTCTAGCTCAAATAGAATTAGCATAAACGCTCAATTGAATCGCATTTGCCAAATTCTAGAGTCAGGTACATTTGCGTGTTTAAGATAGCTGATTTTGCCATAGATATACAAGTTTATGTTGCTAGTTTCGAATTGAACACTTTAACATCCCCTCAAACATCAAGATCCTGAAATTAATAGTACTCAGGTAAATGTAACGTTCTAGACAGAGACGAAAATTTTTCGTTTTCTAACATGCCCGTTGTTTACATGTTCGGAGAAAAAATAACATACGCTTTGAGTGGAAACCAGCGAGTACATCTCTCCTACGCATGTGATGGGCTGGAGGTCTGAGGTTTTGAGGGCAGAACTTAATTTTTTTCTTCAGTTTGAATCAACTTAAGTGGTCAAACACTGGCACAACTTATTTGACTAAATACAAAACCGTGCGATGTATATCTCTGGACAAGTTTTCGGACCTTGACGTTGGAAGGAACAAAATCACATAGCAGAACTTAGAGCGTTCCACCATATGTTAAGCTAGCTTATTATTAATTCGACAGAAGCTCGAGTGCGCCTGTACTTCATGGGAGTCCCTCATCAAAAGCAACGTAAACAGCGTTGAAAGGACGAAAAGGCAGGCTATTCAAAAGGATTTGTTTTTGGGCTAGTTGGTGCATACTTGGTGCAGGAGACTGAGGCGCAAAAAACATATCGTTAAGCAGGAAGAGCCGGAGAGAAGACAGAACAGCGCCAACTACCAACTGTTTAATGACCGTCTAGGAAACGCACAGCAAAGAAGACAAAACCGCGCATGCGTGCACAGCCAACAAACATCGCACCGCGTCATGATCAAGGCACTAAGATATCCAAAAATGCATTTCTGTTGCGTACAACACAATAGATGTATCACTGATACCATCGGACCCTTTCTTTTTGATAAAGTAGGCTTCCAAGAGCTCTCTAGCCATTTGTTTTTTGCTCCTACCAAGAATCACCGTTTTTTCAAACAATGGCACACATCTGCAGGCTTTACAGTGCACTGGAAGATGCGCATGATCACTTTTGCCTAAACTATTGGCATGCTCCCTCAGTCTGTCATTAATGCAACGCCCCGTTTGACTGATATAGAACTTGCCACAGCCTAGGGAAGTCCCACATACCACGTCTTGTGTGCAAAGTCGGCCTTTGAACTTCAAAGAATTTCCAAGGCCGGCTACCCTCAGTCCATAGTTAGTTCCGTGGTGGAATCCCTGCTGCAGAGGGTGAAAGGCAGAGTGTCTAATGCAAATGTGCACCCCAAGGAGAGAGAGCTGGTTAAGCCTGAGGTGGTTCCGTATATACGCCGTGTGAGCCATAACCTCACGAAGGTGGCTTCCCGTTACGGCGTTCCTGTCGTCTTTTCAGCTCCCAACAAACTTGCTCAATTGTGCCCGCGTATCACATGCGATGAGCAAAGGGGCTGCCAGAACCAGCACACAAGACTATTTAGGTGCTGCGCACAAGGCGTGGTATATGGGAGACTCGCCTAGGCTGTGGCAAGTTCTATATCGGTCAAACGGGGCATTGCATTAATGACAGACTGAGGGAGCATGCCAATAGTTTAGGCAAAAGTGATCATGCGCATCTTGCAGCGTACTGTAAAGCCTGCGGATGTGTGCCATTGTTTGAAAAGACGGTGATTCTTGGTAGGAGCAAAAAACAAACAGCTAGAGAGCTCTTGGAAGCCTATTTTATCAAAAAGAAAGGGCCCGATTGTATCAGTGATACATCTATTGTGTTGTACGCAACAGAAATGCATTTTTTGGATAACTTAGTGCCTTGATCATGACGCAGTGCAATGTTTGTTGGCTGTGCACGCATGCGCGGTTTTGTCTTCTTTGCTGTGCGTTTCCTAGACGGTCATTAAACAGTTGGTAGTTGGCGCTGTTCTGTCTTCTCTCCGGCTCTTCCTGCTTCATGATATGTTTTTTGCGCCTCAGTCTTCTGCACCAAGCAGGCTGTTCAATCTGTGTACAATAACTTTTTGACATACGACTCTCTGGTTAACTAGCAAGGCCTAAAACTATTTTGTCCATTTAATTGCGTTGAAAAAAATATCAATGGTATTTATCTTCTGGTTTGTCGACAATAAACTTAAAAAAACCTACTCGCCGAAATTGTGCTTTAATCCTTACTTTGTTGAAGTAAATGTAAATAAATATCCGTCTTTTCTTTGCATCATTTATCCTGGACCTGCTGCTTGGCTTGTATTTAGCTTGTATTTGGACCTGCTGCTTGGTTTGGCTTGCTTGTATTGTTTTTGAACTTTGTGCATTTTTTGTCCTTATGTTTTTTTCAATGTTTTATTCTGCATAATTTTATCCACCCTGCATCAATACGGTCGCGCGGTAGTGTTTTCTGATAGAAAGATGAATTTTTGTTAGTTTTAATGTGGGCTTTTGATTCACTTATTTGATATTGATCAATGCTTTTTTTTATGCGTGCCGTGCAAGCTTGAAGCTGTACAAACAATACTCAAGATGCACAGGCAAATGGACGTACAGAAAGAGACAAAATACAGTTCTCTGCAATGTGATAATCATGGCTGTTAAAATTAAGCACGTCACAAGCAAAGCCAACTGAAACGTGAAACGTTGAAACTGAAAGGATTGCTTCAGCTATGCCACAATGCTTGAATACTCTAAACTTATATTGATTGACTCTGGCACTGCATACACCAGTGGCGTATACATTTTACCGGAAAAGAGCTGAGGTAGTAGACAGATAGACATTTATGAAAACTTGACTGTCTGATAAAATATGTAAGTGAACGACTCAAGATGATCTAAAAAAAATGAAGATTTTGATCGCCCAAAAAACTTTGCATTTTGAAAAAATTTTAGACTTGTAAAAAAAGAAAAGTCTGCATGACAGCTCTGACTTGTGCAGTGTATTGAATTACATCCAGTTTTACCCAGAAAGCTAAATTCAAATGTCGAAGAGTGCAACTGTTACCTCCCTATCCAGATGCTCACAATGAGTTGCAACCCTGGCGAGCTTGTCAGCAGGTGTAAAATGAGCTGTACCATGGTTTAATGAAAATGTTCGTTTTGTGCTCGCTTGGACATGTTTTCTTTTTTTTTCTTTCGTTTCAGTTGGCCACAACCGCTTGTGCGCACATCTATTCATGTGCTACAATACTAATGCCTGTTTATACTCACTTGTACATCAAGCACATCAAATGCAGCACAACAGAAGCCATGCGTAGTGCAGTGTTTGTACATACAGAGCATGAATTTACTGCGTTGCAAGAACAGTCAGAGGGACACTCCGAAATATTATTAACGTTTACCGAATTTGCTACACTCGTGCCTTCGCAATTCATTCCCTCCACCCTGACTGATTAATGTGAAAATCAAATGTATCAAAAATCAAAATCAAAAGTTTGTCTGGTCTGGTGACTGATCTGACTTTCAATTTTAGTCGGTGCGATTGTATGTGCAGTCAACGTCTGGGGTTTAGGGACCACGACACACAAGAACACACTTAATATTCCTACTGCTTCAAAGAGCAGCTTTGAATTTAGATTTCTGGTGTGTTCTAGAACGCGCTTGCAGTATGTACTGGACCAAAAACAGCTACAATCTACTAGGAAATTCGAAGTTATCTCAGACATAGTGGTCTCTAAATTTTCGATGGTGATGGTAAATTGCATTAATTTTGACACTGGACATATCACTAGCGAAACTAGTTGGTAGTCATCAAAAGCCCTGGTGAACACAAAGCACTGATTGTGAATCGGCGCCAGCTTTTCTTGACTTAAACTTTGACAGCGAAGGCATTACCGCAAGTATTGTTTCGACGTGCCAAGATGTTTGGCTTCGAGCAAGTTGAATGCATAGTTTTTTGCATAACCTGTTTGCAACGTTAACAATGCAAGCTATGACAGATCGTCCAACAATCGCGTGTGTCCGGTTATGAAGTTCCAAGGGCTGGATTCACGAAACATCACATTAGTATCTACTAGCCACTGATTGGCCCTCGCCATTTACCCGACCCTGTGCATGGCTGCAACAGAAGAATCGACTATCATGCATGCTACGCATATTCATTCTTCCTGCATAGTCTGACGAGTTGATTATTGTGTTAGATTTCACTTACAAGATCGACCAATTTTCGCGGGAATACCAAGTTATATGAATCTCTCCTCCCGCTACATCAACGGCCATAGCTGCGCTTGGAAAGAGAGGCCGGTCATATGGATAGCGTACAATTTGAAGGTACAAACAAACTAATATAATTACTTTATTGTGGCTAAACTTCGAAGTGACTCCCATCTGGGGCCGCGATTTTATAACAACAATTTTGAGTAGCTGACGTGCGAACACCATTCGGTGTGACGTTGGTGTAAAGGCACCTTCATTGAAATAATTGAAATTGCGCATAGATTTTAGTGCGTCGTGGTCATGCTTGTGTGGCTAGCACAGATTTGACTTTTCAGGTGTCATGTGTGACAAAGGAAACGCACAATATTCTCGGCAGTTCTTTTGAATTTGGGCGAAATATCTGGGCCGAATTGAGAAAGCCTTCTGTTATAAGAAACTTCCGAGTGACTATTTGGTCTTCGGCAATGATGTGTTCGCTGTAAATCGGTTAGATTACTCTCTTCCGCCCCCAGTTTCCGACGAAAAAAAAAAAAGAACGTTGGGACCAACCATTAGTATACGAAGTGTCCTTCAAATACAGGTGGCGTAAGGATGTTTCTGTTGTGAAATACTTACGGCTGGAGGTTGCCCTGACCGACCTTGAGGCCCGTCTGTGCGGCCAGCGTGTCGGCCACGTTCTGGGTTGAGTAGAGATGAATGGGCGAGTTGTACAAGTTGTGCACGACTTTGGGCCCATCCGCTCCTGGAGTGACGCGCCCGCCGCTGCCACCGCTGGTGGCCACAGAGGCCGGCAGGCCGAAACACGGCGAGTTACTGCCGGACGCCGCCTGGTTCACCGTCTCCTGCACCTTCTGCGTGTGCGCAAGCAGTAAGGTGTGTCAATATAACGGTGAGCAAACACTGGATCAAAGGTGCCGGCAGTAGAAGTGCGTCTCATCTCTTATGACAAAGCAAATGGCTCCGTTGGTGTCAAAACGCTTTTAGTAAAGCTGCAACTCACAAACTCACACAATATCTGCTTTATAATACGGCAGCTTTCGTAGTAGCGCGCCGCTGTAGCTGTATACCTGCCTTCCCGGTAGTCGGAGCCACAGCAGTTTAAAGGGACACTAAAGACAACTATTATCGAAGTTGATTGTTTAAATAGTGGGTAAGAAACCTCGTAGTGTTACTTTTGTGCCAAGGAAGTGCTTATTTTAAAATAAAATCACGTGTTAGTAGTCCGCATCAGGTTAACGCACATCAAATTACCCGCCTCAAGCAGAACATCTCGCGTCACTGTAGCCGTGCACAACGTTGCCCGAGTTTACTGCGTGGTCGCCGACACTAGTAGCAGCAGAACAAAAGTAGCGGGATCCAAGGCGCCAACAACTGCCATTGAACAATTTCTTGTCGTGGCCTCTGAGATGGCAAACTCAGATGAGACGACCTTTCCTGTTTAACCATGCAGGCGAAAATTGAACTTTCGAACCACTCGTGCCATTCCCCATAGTAACATCCGATGGTTTTTTTTTTTTCATTAATCAAACAAACGAACAAGCAGCATTTTACTACGTCTCTCAATGCACAGAAGTTTATTCAGTTTACCTAGTTCGATTACTAGTGAATTATAGGCGGTACCTTTAACGTCATCGGGATCATTTTGCGAATATCCTACGCTGACTTCTCGGTAAGTAGGGCACAGCCGTTGATAATATTGCCGTTTTAGACGTCGTCATACGTAACAATTTATGTCAGAGTAAAAGCTCAATGTATGACACGATCTAAAACGACAATATCATCAACAACAGTGGCCTACTTACCGAGAAATTAAGGTAAATGCACAAGAACACAAGAGCCGTAATAGGACATTTTCAAAACGATCTTGATGACATCAGATGGACCACCTACAATTAATCACTAGTAATTGATCTAACTGCTCTAATCAAAGAGTTTACCGGGCATCAAGAGACGCAATAAAATGCCGTCTGTTCGTTTCTGTTTGATTCATAAAAAAAGAACCGCCGGTCGTTACTATGGGGAATGACGCGAGTGATTCAACAGTTCAATTTCCGCGTAGTGACACTGTATGTGTGGTGCCGTCTATATCGGGGCGCAGTCAAATAAAAAAAAAACGTCGGCAATCTCGAAGCCAATGGTGGGAAATTGATCAATGGCCGTTGTTGCTGCTGTGGCTCCCACTGCTTTCGGTCTGCTGCTACTAGCGCAGTAATGCCAGGCAAAGTTGTGCATGGCAACAGAGACATGAGTCGGTCCGCATCTTGAGGCGGGTAATTTGAAGTGCGCTAACCCAATGCTGAGCACTAAAACGTAATTTTATTTCAAAATAGGTCTTCCCTTGGCACAAAAGTAACGCTACGAGGTTTCTGGACCGCTATTTCAACAATCATGGTCGACTTGATTGTTGCCTTTCGTGTCCCTTTAAATACATAGTTGCAAGATCTAGTCCGGCATTGAACTAGTAATTACACAGTAATAGGACATCTAACCGGGACCAGGGAAAATATTTAAGCTATATCAATAAAAGTAGTGCAAGCATTGACGAATTGGGATACATTTTCTCGTTGAAAAAGCTCATGGAAAGCTCCTATGAATGTTGATTTTAGTTAAAAAAAAAGAGGAACACATGCGAGGGACAGACAGGCTCTTGCCCAACTTCACCAACAACCAGCTCCTATGAAGTTTGACTCGGTGCTGTCATTGAACGATGCACACAAGGCTTATGTTTGATTTGTTATAAAACAAGATGGTTTTGAAACGGAGAAAGCGAATGAGTTTCATATACGACGGAATAAATGTCTATACCACGCAGTGTTTCATCACACTAACGAGGTCTGCGAACAAGGGGATTAGCTTGCGCTTTGACGGAATTGAAATAACTAGTGTCGCATAAACTATACCATCCCAGATTTGCGTGGGGACAAAAAAAAAGCTCTTTGGAAAGTGTAGCAACAAGATTACATTCGGCCGCTGGATCAAGAAAAAGTGATGTTGCGAATTTCGCCAGACTAATGGCGCGGCAGACGTTCCTTCGCTGTATCAAAGAATTAGATCTCGAACAACATTCTTCAATGAATCGAACTTCGGTGGAATGCTTCAACGGCTTGTTAGACAACGACAACGGAATGCACATATTTTGCACAGTGCAATGTTACGGGCATATCATGCACCACAATACCTTGGCGATTGCTTCAGGATTGTTCAGGCTGTCGACGGGCATCTTCATGGTGGTGAAGTAAGGCTCTTTCACGTGCCGCAGGTACGATCCGATGGTCACATCACGCCGCGGCTTCGCGGACGGTGTGATCAGGGGAGTTGTCCTGTATGTCTGCGTGAGTGCGACGAACAAAAGAAAAGGAGGCGGAAATGACAACAACCAGAGACGCAGAACTCTATCGTGTAGCCAGGCCATGCAGGTTCGAATTAACTTGGGTGTGCTGTATATACAAATAAAATGCTAAAAAATAGGGTTTGTACCCCCCCCCCCCCCCAACCACTCCCCTGCCAGCCTTTTAGCCAGAAAAAATTCTGTAGCCCCCCCCCCCCCTTCCCCCGACCGAAATTCGGATGGTGGGGGCTGTTCTGTACCCGACAACACATAATGAAAATAGGTGTTTTCCAATGCATTCAACATGTGCCTCCCCTCCCCCCCCCCCCTCCCCGACAGAAATTCCCGAATACGGGACTGCCCCTAGCTAAGCTATACTGGCGGAACTGTTAATAAAGAGTCGTTATGGAAGAACTGTAAAGGAACTGGTATATATTACTGGAAGCGCGTGGCGTTAACAAAGGTAGAGCAAGGACTTTGCCTTGTTAAAAAGCCATAACAGTAGACTAATGGAGCGAGGACACAAGGACAAGAAAAACAAAACAAAACTGAATCTTGCCTTTGTGGTGCCTTTGTAGACCATCTTTTCTTATCTCATTTATAACACTTCCTTTCCCCTCACCAAGTATATTATAGCAAACTGAAGACTTGCTTGGTCAATCTCTATGTATTTCCTTTCTATTTTTCTCTCTTGCACTCACTTTGTGCAAGTACGCATGCAGTTGCGAATGGGTGTTTAAATTACAATCTTGACTGCTACCACCAGTTGTTACTAGAAAAGGTGCTAACAAACAAAGACTAGGGGGTGATAGCAGATAAAACTTCTGGTCTTGCCGTCGGTGTCTAACTCCGCAATCACGAGTGAGGAGTTGCGCCGTATAGTTGCGCCGTATAGTTGCGATACAAATAACTAGCGAAGCTAACATCACACGCGCAAGATTATGGTCAACCCAACAACTGCATTTTTTGAATTGTCATAAAGTGTCGGTTCACCTTCAGAATAGTGAAGGAGACTTGAAATCAAGCACATCTTGTCATAGACGTGCGCAGGGTTCCCCATTGGGGGGGTTCGTGGCAGCGCTCTCCGTTCCTATTATGTCAATGCAAGGGGCTGAATTTGCGCCCCCCCCCCCCCCCCCCATTGCGCACGCCTAGGCATGTTGTCATGTAACTATATGCAGCACCACGTCTGATACTTGGTCAGGTACCAACTCGGGAAGCTACACGCACCTTTTTATTTTCACTCTTGTCTCAACAAAATGCCTATAACGCTAGGACGGTGACTGCAGCAACAGCCAAATATTTGTTCCGTATAGGCACATGTCTTGTTTATTTTTTCCTTGTACCGTTTTTAAAATGTCGGCAATGCTGTGAACATGCCCCGCCGCGGTGGTCTAGTGGCTAAGGTACTCGGCTGCTGACCCGCAGGGCGCGGGTTCGAATCCCGGCTGCGGCGGTTGCATTTCCGATAGAGGCGGAAATGTTGTAGGCCCGTGTGCTCAGATTTGGGTGCACGTTAAAGAACCCCAGGTGGTCTAAATTTCCGGAGCCCTCCACTATGGCGTCTCTCATAATGATATAGTGGTTTTGGGACGTTAAACCCCACATATCAATCAATGCTGTGAACATGCTGCCTCTCTCGCTGTTTCTGACATAAATTCATAAAATTCAATGAGCGACAGAACTATATATTTTGAACTTTATTTTATTATTTATTACGGTTGTGATATCTTAGTTTAATTAACGTCATTATTATTATTAATTGATTTGCATACATATAAAAACAGGGGCAGAGAGGAAATAAGGAGAGAGCAAGCTGGCAACTGCCACCTACAGGGGCACAACGCCTGCTCACTCTTTCGGGAGGAGGAAAGAAACAGAGATTTCACGCACTATATGGATGAATTAGGAGATGATCGGCTTTGACACGTGTCCACAATGTATTACGTTGGAGTTCAATTTCATTGATTTCAGTTTCTTCTGTCTGTTCTCTTTGGACAGTGTGGATAGGTGTGCTGTGCGAACATTAGGCAACTGCTTTTTTTTTTATTCGAAAGTTTACCCAACAGTATAAACAATGAAATATATAAATAGAGGCTTGTTTATAGGTGGCGTACATCGCAAGTACTGTGTGGTGGAGCCCTTGGAGCCAGTGATTATAGCCCGGTGGTCTCGTGTTATGAAGGCCTACTGTTCGCAGGTTGCGCATTAGGTAACTATGAGGCGTTTTTCTTTCGTTTTGCAAACAAGCCATTTTTTGACAGTTGAATTTAACCTAAATGACGCGAATGCGCAAATGGGCATTGACAAAGGTCATTATGACAAGATAATGCGGGCCTTCCCGCTAACTCCATGAGTTCTGTATTAGCTACGCTATTGAAAAAAAAAAGGCATAATTGATTTTCAAAAGCTCGGTAAACCTGACAAATCTCCATCTTTATAAAATTCTGCGGGCCCATGGAAGGCAAGCGGGAGGAGCTTTCAGTCAATGAACTGGGTGCGCCACCAAAAATACACGGCATAAAATATTTTCTGACATAACGGTGGAAGGCCATTCAAAACGTAGCCTACTTTAGCTTTGCCCAATGTGTCCGGCATGAATCCCAACGGGCACCGTCTACTGTATCCCTAGTCGTATATTTCATGACATTTCTGGTTGCAATCCTGGCACTGAACGCGTTGCTTGCGTAATGCCTGTGGTCTTTCCTTCTCTCTTGCACCAGAACAGGCGCCAGACATTGTCTCGCTTCTCGTCTCGCCTGAGGCAGCGCTGCCCGCTCGCTGTCTCGACCTGCCGCGTGCACTTTAAATCTTTCCGCTTGTTCATCATTTTGTCCGGACCTTCAGAATCGCTTGCGTCCAGTCGCATTTTTCTTTTATCGTCTGGCACGCATCCTGGTAAACAGCGCTCGCTGCCAAGCAGGCGGTGCAGCCGTGTTGGTTAGGTTTTGTTTCGAGCCGGAGCTCGGGAGGTTTTCGAGAGACCGCACTGGCCCTCCTCTCTGAGCGCATGCGCTTGCTCGCGTCCCGAGCATGCCGACACCGGAAAGTATAGCGCGTACGCTCTCTGAATCGAGGACCATGGTCTTCAGTGCTCAGCAGCCGTCGCAAGAAACAGGGCCAGGTCAGGTCTTTCTGCTGGCGTCTCTCCAGTCCTTGAAGCAGCTGCAGCTATCTCGTCGGCGCTTGTTCGCTCGCTTTCTGTGCCGACGGGCTCCCTCACTAACTTTAGCACTGGCGCACTCTGTTTGTGTGTCGTTGCCGGTTGAGGTCGTCTCAGGGCGCCCGCCCTGATGCTCCTTCTTCCTTGGTCTGAGCGGCGCCCCGCAACTCGCCGTCAGCTAAACAAAAGCGCTGATAAATTCCTACCCTTTGCAGCAGCTGTCGTGAAAGCCGCACTCTTTTTCTCGGTTGGTTAGTCGCTCCCAATGGGAGGAATATGTTGATCCTGGCAAACGGCGACGGGTCCAGTGTTTCTGGCTCAGGAAGTCTCCTTTTTTTTCTGTACCCTCTTTAGTACCTTTCCTTAGCCGAGTACATTTCGTTTCGAAACCCCGCGTGGTATTGTGAACGCTGAGAACACGTGTCTTTTGCGCTAAAGTGTCGCAACTTCCTGTCCTCGCGTCTATAGTTTTGTGCAACAGGCGTGCTGCTTTCTTCGATGGCGGAGCTTTGTTTTAGCTGATTTGGCTTTCTGTGGTGTTCTCCGTGGATTACTTTGGAAGGAAGACGTGTGATGTAAGGAGTGGCCAGAGCTATCCCTACTTCATCCGCCTTCCGATTATTCGCGAATCGTAGAGGGGAGGGAAGGGCACGTGTTCTTTAAGCCGAATTCAAAACGTCATTGTCAGATTCTTCCCTTGGCCTGTTGATTGGCGTCAATTTTGTCGATTACGGCTGGATATTCATGTGGTTGGGTTTATTTATTGTACCCTCAGGGCCAGAGGCATTGAACACGCGGAACACCGGAAGCAGCGACTGCTAAAGAAAGCATAAATACAATGAAAGTGCACATGGCGCATTCGGCGCATCTGGTCAAGAGGTGGAAAATGTGGCGTTCCGGGACTGCGCACAAGCAAACGTCACCGGGAGTGGGTATCTGCCACAGAAATTGGGCACTCCCAACTGTAGTTACCACCGATGCAGTAAAATAATGAATAAGCAATGCTAGCATACGCCAGCTCAAAGGGTTTCCACACTTGCTCTCCAAGTTGTACCTTTATCTCAATTTCTCTTCTGGCTTTGTCAGCTGATATAGTTAGGGATAATACCCGCCACAGCACGAGTTACTACCGATAAAATACTTCAGGTGTTTTTTATGTCATTTAAGCTAACGTCACTTAACGCAAAGTCTCTAACTGGCTAACCTCCCTGTCCTTCCTCATTTATTCCTCCTCCTCCTCCTCTATCTCAAATTTTTTAAATGTAATAGTGGAATCAAACGCTAGAACATAATACACTTTGATAGATTCCAACTCATGGTGAGCTCGGAGGCCGCACGTTTCAGCTTATTTGTTTAACATTCTGTACGGAGTGCTTGTGTGGTAATGTTTTTTAAGGTTCTGGACAGTATAGGGATCCCCTGACCACATACAGTGATTTAACGAAGAGTTTTTATTCGGGTAAGCGCAAGTATCCGCCACTAGTAGATTAAACAGTCTTGAGGCATTCTCACTTAGACTTTGGCAGATCGGGGTATACCCTAGCCCTGCACTATTGCACAGTATCTGCCCCGGAATTCTGACGTCAAACACTTTTGTGCTTTGATAAGACTTTGCCCGCTTAGAGCACATGCTCTGGCGGTGCATCCACGTCAAGGAGTGCACGACGAAGATGTTGGGATGCTGTTCTGCGCAGTCCGAATTTGGAAGCTCAACTATGGACATTTCATCGGGTTTGCGACGTGGCGGTGAGGCTATAGACCTGTCTCTCCCGACGTGGTAGTGACCCGCTACGTACTAGTTCACGCCCTGAAAAACTTAGTATGATTAGGTTAGGTTAGGCTAAGTTAGGTTTTCCTATCCATTCCATTACCCGCCATGGTGGCCTAGTGGCTAAACACTCGGCTGCTGACCCGCAGGTCGCGGGATCAAATTCCGGCCGCGGCGGACGCATTTTTGAAGGATGTGAAAATGCTTGGGGCCCATATGCTTATATTTAGATGCACATTATTGAGCCCCAGTAGGTCGAAATTTCCGGAGCCCCCCTCTAAGGCGTCTCTCATAATCAAATTGTGGTTTTGGTATACGTTAACCCTGAGATATTATTATTGCATTCATTTCATTCCGCGCAGCAATGTAAGCCAGATAAACAGTGGATTGTCATGCTGGGGAGCGTGCTCTCTCTTTCTCTCTCTCTCTCTCACACACACACACACACACGTTTTATATATATATATATATATATATATATATATATATATATATATATATATATATATATATATATATATATATATATATATATATATATATATATATATATATATATATATATGGTGCCTTAGCTTGTATACAAAGGACTATTGGTCAGCTGCCAGCTCGTAATAAGTGCACGTGCTACGTGACGCCAAACAGGCTCACAAAGAGTGTGCTACACTCGCCGCCATGACTACTGGTGGCGCCGAGTGACACTCCCGCGTTAAATTCACATATATAACTAATGAAGGGGGTGGGGTAGATAGCCGCCGTGGTGGCTGAGTGGTAGAGCATCGAACGCGTTATTCGAAGGTCGCAGGTTCGGTTTCTGCCCATGGCAAGTTATCTTTTCACCCACTTTTCTTTCTTGACATTTACATTACAATCCGGTCTAATAGCTTCTCTTATACTTTCCTGGGCTTTATTGTCTGTTATATCTTATTATTGTTGTGTCAAACATGGAAAAACGAGCTCTTAAGTATACACTTCTTTCCTTTTATATACATTTGATGTAACGGTGGCATACTGCCACGCGAATTTCTGCTTTATGTTTATCAACTATTGAAATGTCTGCTTTTACGGCCATTCTTTGGAATACACACGCACTAAAGAAGCGATGCTCTTGCATAACTTGCCAACCCATTTTCTGATTTTCTATCAACGAGAAAACTTTTGACCTTCTCTCAAATCTGTGTCCTCTCTACTTTTTCTCGTAATGTCTTTGTATACTGTGCACTACGGACTTGTTCCTACTCGCCCAGTCGTCGTTTGAAATCGTAGCAGGGGTGTAGGCAGAAATGTTTTTCGGGGGGGGGGGGGGGGGGGGCACTTTGCTAATCTGAAGTGGGGACCAGGCAGGCAGGTGTGGTACAGTATCATTTTGTGCTCTGTATGCCATGGCGAAAGGAAATTCATAAACAAACAAACAAACAAACAAACAAACAAACAAACAAACAAACTAACAAATAAATAAATAAATAAATAAATAAATAAATAAATAAATAAATAAATAAATAAATAAATAAATGTCCCGGGCGTGGGCTTGGTGTGCCACCTCCTGGCTACGTCACTGAGTCGTAGCACTGCCTCCTGTGGTTCAACCTAATGTGAAGTCTCGCCGTAGGCTACGCTAAACAGCAAGTACATTCTCATAATTGCGTTGCAGATCTGTGCCGCGCATAGTCATGCACGTCTCGGAGTAGCGGTGCTCAAACAGGATCTCTTGTAGGGGTCAGGTAGCGATTGGGGCCATCAAGACGACGGTGCTATCGAAGCCACTTCACGTGATGTAGAAAGCGGGAGTGTAAACGCTTTTTTTTTTTTCGTATTCGAACTGCGCTGCGTTACACAAGCGCGTGACTGCGCAGCGAAGCCACCTATACGTTTTTGGAATTGGTATCCTCATACTCGAGAAAAATACCACGAGACAAAGCGTTTATTTCGCGTGTTGAATTTTTATTTTGGTCTTCATAGCGACTACCAACTTCCATGTCATCTATAGCGATTAGGAGGTGTCTGTCTGAGCTGCTCGTTCTTAGCACCCTGTGAACGTTCAGATGAACATGCGTGCAAGGGCCAGAACTGTTAGCGCTCGTCCCTTCCTCGTTTGTCATCTGAAGCGCTATACTTTCTTGTGTTCGAAGTGGCAACTCGCAGACAACCTTTTGTCAACATTGCCAACAAAAAGCTGCCCGCTGTAGTGACGGGGACGCGCCATAAGAGCGACTTCGTATCACAATACCACTTACTAAACCCATTGCGGTAACTCAATCGGCTTGTACTGGTGTGCACGAAGTGTCGACGGCCACATTCTAACGAAAGCTGAATGCAAAAACATTCCTGTGACGTGCGTTTTGGAGTCTCATAATCAGATTGCGTTTTACGCGTGGGGACGACGGGGCTGCCGACGAGACCGGCCGATCTCCGGCGCAGTACAGCGTCAACACTTTGTTGACGCAGTATCCCGGTGGTGCCGGGCGTAGGCAGGCATTTTAAATGCGAATGTATTTCTTCGTCGGGCTATGCCAGGTATCCGTCGTTGTCCGCGCGCTGGCAGGTGTCATCTTTCAGCTCTCACTCCCTCTCCCATGCAACAGCTGCGGGCGCGCACGTTTATCCTCGCCGCTAGCGACTGGAGCATGTGTTGCGAGAGAGTGTAGGGGAGAGTAGGTGCAGTTCTTCGCCGCTCCTTCTCTCGCCGTTCAGTCTCTCTCTTTCATGCGCCACACGTTCCCGTCCGCTCGCGCCTCATTCTCGACTGCTCGCTGGCTGGGTGCCCCTTCAAGTACATTCGGAAATGTGCTTGAGACGCCGCTGTCAAACGCCAATGCCAAGAAGAGAACGCTGTTTGTTTTGTTCACATCATCATCATTATCATCATCATCATCAACATTTATTTATTTATTTATTTACCATTAAAGGCCCCTGTTGGGGTAAACAAGGCAAACTACCCGAAGTACAATTTAATAAAACTAATCGTGGAATTGTTGCCTATTTTCCAAGCAGATGGAAAACTTAAACAACATACTATATATAGGGGCATGGATGTCGGCGCCCCTATAGGGCTTCTCAAGCTATAGGACTTCTCAAGCCTTTTGTGGGGCTTCTCAAGCCGTTTGGATAAAACGGAAGGAACGTGCGCGGTTCTTGCGAACGGCGGGGCTTCTCTAGAAAACAGCTGGAGCGCGTCTCTATGCTAGGCACTGTTGGTCTTGGCAGCCTGGGCACCGGCCGCATCTTTTGCTGCTGGGTTTACGACGTGCCCCCGCTTTGTTTCTTTCCTTCTAATTCCTCTAGCGAAACGTCAGTGAACTCCGCGTAGAAAATAAAAATGTTGCGTTTAACGGCCAGCTAATTTCGGAATCTTCTGCATGCCATTCACTTTGCTTGCGATCATTTGTGAGCTGGGAGCTTCAGCGAGGAAGCTGTGGCTATTGAAAGCTGGCTGCGAAATCTCGCTTGGATTCCACCGCTTGGCGCGCTGCTCCGACACACTCGTTTCATGTAATGATGTCCAACTTTGACCTCCGGTTTTTAATTTGAAGATGTATAATGATCTCTTGCCGAGTTTCCATCAGTGAAGCCGGCTTCGTGGTTAAACTTTGCGGATTATGGACAAAATTATAGACATAACCTGTAGAAATGCGAGACAACCAGCCTACGAACGCTAACCGTATATATGAGCATGTCCAAGTTTCGCGAATACTTTTTTAAAACCTGTGTTTCGTTCAGAGCGCATTAGTGGGGAGCTGATGGACCTGAACTACATGTAGCTAAAGCTATAAAGAGAAAAAATGAAGTTGCAGTGACGCCTCGCATGTTTACATATTCTTTAATGTAATGCTACTTAAAAAGATAAAATTGTGAACATTTAATCATACATCCATATCTTGTGCTTAGAAAAGAAATGAAAAAAAGCATTACGCATGCATCCGTATAACAGCGTCATTGCCGGCTTACCTGGTTGGTAATCTTGGCCTGTTCCTTGAGCGCGTCTATCTTGTTTTCGACTAGTGGCTCGGGCACCAGGAATCCCTGGCGCAGCTCGTATTGGTACTGGCCATCCTGGTGTGGGCCTGACGCCGGCACCGTGACGTTTTGCGTCGTAATGGTGATGCCGGGGCTCTGGGGCGACACATAGGCCGGCGGTCCCGCGGGCCGGTACGTGGCGCCGGCCAGAGGGTGGCCGCCGGACACCATGCCGGCAGGCTTGGGCGTCGTCGGGGTTGAGGCCGGCGAGTGAGGCCCAGGACTCCTGCGTGCACGTGCGGGGAGAAATTAACAAAAATAAAGGAGGTGCGGCACAACATAGACACGTCAAACCGGCTTCGCCAACACTTTCGCGTTGAACATTCTGTCGAGTGCAATGTATACCCGGAAAAACATTGATCCACTGACGATGAGAATAGGTGGGTGATGGGCATCGTTGTATTTATTTATAACTCGTCACATATTGGCGGAATTGGCGGTATCAAAACTTTACGTCATCGCAGGCGTCTATATATTACGGCATGGAAACTTCACGTCAACACACGCGTCTATATATTTATTGTGAAAAGGAACGGTGAACATCTTTGTATTTGCAGCTGCTGTGTTGGACCAATATGGTATTTCTTTGGTACATGAAGGGCCCTGCGCTAGTCTGGTCAAGTCTGCGCTCATTCGTCAGGGCCATGTTCAGTGTGACGTGACGCCATGAAAGATGACGAGTCTTCGTCTACTTTCGTGCTGCAGTCTAGCAATATTTTCATCAAGCATCTTAAGGTAAACATACTTTGTGGGACTGGTGAGCTTAATATTACTATCTTCACTTTAACTGAACGGCCCGGTCCGATCTGTGGTCCCGGTAATGAAGCACGTACGTGCCTTCATTACCGGGAACACAAATTGGTAACCGGAATGAAATTTTGTTAGTACAAATGTCATAGACGCATGAATAGGGCACTTCATATAGTGCGAAGTAGTAATAATGCATTCAGTATGAAGTAGTGTAAATGTGCACGCTCGATGGGTGATAGAATACAGGGACGTGCTCTCAGCTGGTGCTCAGTATCGAGAATACACTATGTGGTTTTTGCACGCGCTTTCCGTTGACCAACGCAGGAGTCGAGCAATCTTGAATAGCTCTTGCATAAGAAATGAGATGCGAATGTAGGCCCGCATTCACAAATCCATTCGTGGGCAAGATTGCTTTGTTAAGAACCACTAAAATTACAATGTAAGAGTTCCATAGAAGTTTGGCCGACCACTCAAGAAAAAAAATCAGTAGTTCTTCCAAAGGAACAACCTATAGTGTATTTAGAGACATGGCTTCAACCAATGAGTAGTTATACTCATTGGTTAGTTCTCCCCTTCCACCAATAAACACAATATAATACAGCCTGACTCTGTAAGTTGAATAAAAGCATCGCGAACGAGCTCTTTGTATTGTATTCACTCACCCCTGTTATGCGTGCTCTCGATTTACGGGATGCCCGAGCGAACACCATGCTTCTCACCTGTTCACGACCAGGTTCAGGTTGTTGCCGCTGTTTCGGATAAGTTCGGTCGCCTCGTTGTGGGTCATGCGGGACGTGTCACGGTCACCGATCTTGAGCACCATGTCACCGCGGTGCAGCTCGCCCTCGGAAGGACTTCCCAGAAACACCTGCGCGGGTCACGAAGCACAGTTGACGAGCGAGCAACGTGGTAAATAGAGAAGAGTGCGTGACTTGAGGGCGCCACGTCACGCTACGAGCTAATTTAGGTTGCCATTGATTGATTGATATGTGGGGTTTAACGTCCCAAAACCACCATATGATTATGAGAGACGCCGTAGTGGAGGGCTCCGGAAATTTTGACCACCTGGGGTTCTTCAACGTGCACCCAAATCTGAGCTCATGGGCCTACAACATTTCCGCCTCCATCGGAAATGCAGCCGCCGCAGCCGGGATTTGAACCCGCGACCTGTGGGTCAGCAGCCGAGTACCTTAGCCACTAGATCACCACGGTGGGGCAATTTAGGTTGCCATTTTGGCTGGAGCTCGTACATGGCAAAATGAAGCACGGTAAAATGAAGGTGTGACGCCAAACAGCACGGATAAAAGAAAATGGATGGCGTGTGCGCTTTAGAGAAAGTGCGAGAAAGTGCTGTTGTTTCGCGGTATACTTTACATTTCCTACAAACTCGGTGAAGCGCTTGTTCCTTTTTTTAGCCATCCCAGGTTTTTTGCTTTTTTTTAATTACTATGTTCTTCTGGCTAACCAATAGTGGCTAGCAACGCCTGCGTAGTGATTTATGCAGCCATCATGGCTTGCGTCGTTTATTCTAATACTGTAGAAACATAGATGCCCTTTATCGACGTCGTCGTTATCTAATCTTATGAAAAATATGGGCCAACCCCGAAGGCCGTGCAGTCTGAATTAGCGTCCCAAAGCGCAGACTGTCTGGAAAAAAGAATGTGAGAAATTGACATGCGAAACATGCTCCATATGCTTCGAACACGGACTTTAGCACGACAGACGCATGCGTGGTGGTCGTGGTCCAGTGGTTAGAACATTGGGATACTCAATTGAAAGACTGAAGGTTGATCTCGTCGCGTATTTCTTCCTGTCATATTGGTGATCTTCAGTAGAGGTCTATTGTGCGTACGTGATTGCATCATAGCGTAGTCTGCCCGATTTAGCAAGTTCCTGAGAGATCGATTTCGCAAGTTCGATTTAGCAAGTTCCTGAGAAACGGCCCTGGTAAATGAGAGTAAGCAGGACGCATAGGCGCTGAGCTGTTTAGACGTCCGCAGCTAGTCTGACGCTGGGCAATTCTTGAAAATGCGTCATATAATAAACTAGGCAATTGTCGTGATATTCACGTCCCGTTAATCGCTACCCTGACAAGTGTGGTGCGGTACGTGAATGCAATTACCGCACCTGAACAAGTGCAACAATAAAGCAGTTCATTGCGTTTGCTACAGCGTGTGCAGTGGATCGAGTTTAGCGCTCAGTTACAGGTGGAGTAGAATTATCAAGGAACAGTGAGGAGCAACGAGGACAATTCTGATAATTTCAGAAACATGGTGCATATCCTACGACTGATTACGACATTTATAAGTAGGCGACTTTGAAAGTTATAATGTTTTGTTTAATGTTGAAAGCACAAGTATAGTATACACAACAGTGAGCATGAAGCCAGAGACGCAGCTATATGAAGGAAAGGCACTCCAAAGATGATTGCCTGGGGTGAAGGTAACTTGAACATCTCCCCTCTAGCCTTGTTTACTCCGCATTTAGTATTCGAATGTGTTTCCGCAAGCCCGGCAATCAGCTCCTCCACACCTGTGTTGCACTGATAACCGCACGATCAGCGGAAAACGCATCAGCTGTCTCACGTCCTGCTATCCGCCAGCGTCAACTCCGTGTGTTTCGGGGCAACTGTTTTTAGGTGCAGAATGAAAGAATAGTGATAATTGTTTTGAAATTCAGCCTCCCAAGACTACGATATTATTATGAGAGACGCCGCATCGGAGGACTCCGAAAGAATTTGACCATCTATCGTTCTTCGACGTGCACCGAAATCTATAGATTTTTGTGCACATTTTTGTGAACAATTTCGTGAACTTAATAGTTCATGGGCCCCAATAATTTTTGCCGCCGTCAAAAATGCTGTCACCGTGGCCGAGATTCGATCTACCTGCGGGTTAGCAGTCGAACTGTCGGCAAAAGCTAGATGCCAGTAGCGGGTAGACTGAACGAAGAGGGTTAAGAAAAGTTGTTGTCGAAGATGCATAACCTTATTATTTCGGATGTTTCTCAAATTCAGCGTGATGAAAGCGACGGTGTTATATTAAGACTGGTGTAATCGCGTATATGTTATAAAAGTCAAAATAAAACAAGGAAAAATTAGTTGTGGAAAAGAACATATCTATAAAAAGTGAACCCGTCCAAAAAATGCCGTTCGTTTAACATCGGGTTTGCTGCATAGCTACTCTGTATACATACTGACGAGACAGGCAAGCTGGCAAGAATGAAAACAGCAACAAAAACAAAAAGAAAGGGGAAGGATGTTAGGGTGGAACCTTCACTCATTTTTAGCGATGCTTCAAAACCGCTTACGTTCTTCGGCATATGCGTCTCGACGGCCGTGTTCACCTTGTTTATGTTTTCTTGTCCCTGGTCGAGGCCGCGGTTTAGACACGGGCTGTCAAAAATCTCAAGGCGCGACGACGTCGCGCTATTTCGAGCTTGCTGAGTCTTGTAGGAATAGTGTGGCGAACGCGGTGTCTCCCTGCGTCATCCTTCGATGCATCAACGGCGCACTCCTCGTTCGATAACTTCACCGGGTAAGCGCTAACAAATACGTAAAGTGTCCCCCCGTCTGAACTTTTCAGACGTTGCAGCAAATGTGTAGCAAATGCAGCAAACGTGTAGCGGTGTTTTGTGGTAGCACTTCGCTGGAGGGTGTTACGTGGGGAAAAAGTTAATCAGGCGTCCAAAAATGAGTATCGCTTCTTGGCGTAGCACCTTCTTGCCGCATTCTTCTTAACGTAGCACGGCGCTCGTCGATTGGTCTAAACTATTTACGACGATGGGCTACACCTTTTCCTCACTATGAGAGAGAAGGGTGGCGAGGCCATGCGAAAGTTTGAAACCAGCTGAAAGCGATGTTTTAAGCCCTGTAACTTCCTTAGAATAGCACGTATTCGATTTTTTTTTGCGGCAGCATGTTGACAAAGCGAAAGTGCACACATTTCTTTTTATAACAATTTTTGAACCTCGGGGTTGTTTACTGACCCTTTAAGTTGACTGCATAGTATCTATATGTGCATATGTGCCCCGGTACAGCTTAGATGCACACCGTTACGTAGATGTCGTGTGCTTCTACGAAAACTACTGAGCCGAAATGCAGTTCTGCCGTATCTATAGCACCATGATATACAACCTTTAGAACAGTATCCCTCCCCTGGTGCGGTCTAGCAAAACGTTCAATGGCATGGCCAGAATTTTTTTTTTTCACAGAGGAGGGGAGGGGCGCGTTCGACTCCCCCTCATACGTGTTCCTGCAAGAGTCTACGTGTGTGCGTGTACATGCACACGTACAAAACATGAAAATTTGTGGGAAATGGGTTTGAAACCCATTCTGAGTGCTCTAATGTACGCGTTGTGGAGTAAAGCTACGTGAAACTCTAATGTACCTCGGGAACACGTCAGACGTTAAAAGTGTCGAAGAGTGCTGTCAAAACCATGATTTAATAAGATATGCTGTTATGCACTGAAGAACTGATAGGCATCAATTTGCGTGATATTGAGTGCGTACTGCATAAAAATTAAAAGAAAACGTCGCCCTCGACCATCAGATATCCAAGCTACAGTGCCCCAATTCTTGAAAATGTCAGTGCGGTGCCCCCCCCCCTCCCTCTTCTCACGCTTATTGAAAATTACTGTTCGCAAACAATGGATATTAAAGTGCTGGTGCCAGCCAGGACACATCTGAAGCTATTGTGTGTTCTATAGTTTCTCATTGGCCAGCTTCTGCATGCAAGACTGATTAGAAAGAACTGGGGTGCTATGCAGGATACCCCGAGCTTCTCGGGCAGACGAGTTCGCTCCGAGGAAGATCTATACGGCGGCCATGGCATGAAAACAGCGTAGAGCACGTGATAGCAGCGTTGATAAAAATGACTATGAGAACGCGCGAGGCGTTGGAAATGCATGTAAGACATTTGCAGCGGCTATGAAAGAAACACCGCGTGCGAACACGTCAGCACCGCCACTGCAGTAAACATTTTAACAGTGCAGCGACGTCAGCGTGATTGTCGCGCTATATTTTTGTCAACATTACTAGATTTTCGTCAACTCAATACGCGCCTCCTACAGGTGTGTCCATGGGCGTTTGTTCTTTTTCCGGCAGGTTCTTTCGTTCCACCAGCAGCATGGAAATATCCACTCTCAAAGGCAGCAACGGGGCACACTCAGCGCTCTCGTTCTGCTCGTTTCACTTTTATCAAATATTGCAGATAAATATGAGGACATGTGGTCACAAGGGGCGCTTGCATGCATCATGGCGGCAACGCGGCTGTGATTGGATACGTCATGAGCGTGGTGAAATTGAAGGCGATACATCGTTACCGCGTGATGTTATTAATTTTACTTCAGCGTGCGTGTGTGCATAGCCTTCGCGATAAAGCTGATATATGGATCGTGCCGCTCGACGTGAGTACTGCTCCTCGGCAAGAGAGTGGTAGGTGTACCTGCTGTCGATCGAACTGATTGACGCGTGAACTCGGATACAAACTTCTTGATTCTGAGAAGGCCTAGTTCAACTTGTGACTGTGATGGTGCTGGTGTGACTGTCAAGCGTTTGATGCGGTGAACGCTAAGCGGCAGCTTCTTTGCATATAAATTATTTTGTTGAGCTTACACTATTTGTGCAAGGCTGCAGCCATAGAGGAGCTTGTGATAACCTAGCTTCTTGCAGTTTTTGAAGTTGGTCGTCTATACTCATGTACTGGACTGCATGGCTTTGGAGTGAAGTCCGCATCAGCTCTGTATTAATTTTGATTGTAATTGTAATATTATATTAAGGCTTAACGACCATTACACTGAGCTGTTCTGTCTTCATTGATGAGGTTTTTAAAGGGCACTTATTTCGGGCGCAATTAGCAAGGTCGTGAT